CCGAATGCTGAATGAATGTTGTTTTATCGGTTTAGTTTTTTTTATTATTCACATTTTTTTCTTTTTTGTGTTGTCTTACACTCCCTTCCCATTGATTGTAAGTCGCCCTGAGTCCCCTCGGGGAAAAGGGCGGCCTATAAATGTCAATAAAATAACAAAATAAAATAACAAATAACAAATAACTCCGCATTAAGTATGCTTATTAGCAAATAGCACAGGGCGAGATGAATCTAGGCCTCATTCTTGGTGCTCAGAAATTAGCACCAGCATGTTGTTAATGGGCATTAAGGCTGCTTTGATCATTTGGTCGTGAAAAAGAGCTTCACCTCGTAGAGCAGTGCGGTGGAGCTCAGTGGAGTGTGGAGCATAAGAGTCCTTCTTCTTCACTCCACTGCTTGCTCTGTTGCAATGCTGCAACTGCTTTGTCCCTGCCCGATTTATAAACTCAACATTTTCGCCTCCCTTCCACTCCTGCTGACAGGACCCAGTCCAGGGTGCCAATTCAGGATTGTGAGTCAGCAGACATGGTAATGTGAAAGCAGCTTACCTGTAATTTCTTGGCCCTCTCCTCATCTGTGTCCATCTCCAGGAGATCATCAATATTGACTTCATCTGGCATCTCATCTTCCTGCCACAGAATCAAAAAGGGTCAGGCGAAGTGGGGGCTCTTGGAACAAGAGTTATGAGGTCTCACAGAGGAAAGATTTTAGACAATAGCCCAGGCTCTCTGGCTTGTGTAGCTCTTCAGTGAAGCATTTCAGAGTTCAAAAACATCTAGAACAACAAAGCTTTCAAAGTTTTCAAAACCCAGATCCTGCATCCCCCTTTTTAGGCATGGCTTTTCATGGCTGCTGCTTTTCTTGGGAGCATAAGTATCCGTTGCTCCTATTCTGCCCACCAGGCGATAAGCGATTGATCCCTTTGGGAGAGCTTGGTTCCATCTGTACCCCTTAACAGAATAACCGAGTTGGAAGGGGCCTCAGAGGTCTTCTAGTCCAACCCCCTGCTCAAGCACCATTCCAGACAAATGCCTGTCCAGCCTCTTCTTAAAAGCCTCCAGTGCAAAGAGTTTTCTCCGCAACTGCCCTGTAAATACGCAGGGGGGGGGAGGAGGATAGTCACAGCACCAAGAAGCCTCTGGGTCAGAGCATCAAGCGGCCGCCATGTTCCAGGCCAGGACTAGCCTCCCCAGAAGAGCTGGGCTGCGGACTGAGCTGCTCCCCTCCCAGACTCCCTGGGGAGGCCAGAAAGCAGCCCAGATGGCAACTCACTCCTTTCATGGGAGGATTGGAGAGGCCTCTTTTATAGCTGGGCCACGCTCCCCACCCCCACGAATCCTTTCTAGGCAAGGGAAATGTCAGCAACCGGAGGCGGAGATGCACATTCCTCCTGAGGAGGAGGAGGAGGAGGAGGACCCTTCTCTGCAAGCCCATCTGCCACTTTCTCTGTCAGCCCTTAAGGTTGGCCTCCTTTCCAAGCCGAGGTGCCCTGGGGCCAGAAAGAAACTCGGGGCAGGGAACAGCCCCTTGGTAGCAGCTGGGGGTGCAACTCCCTTCACTCCAGTCTGTATTCGATCCGAGTTGATCCCTTGCTCAGCCTTGCCTGCTCCACAGCCCGGACTGGCTCTTCCCGCGTCTTGAGTGAGGAGGGACTTTCTGAATTTGTTCTCCAGATTCACATATCTGGTTTTTGGAAAGATGGCTGAATGGGGTGATGAAGGGCGACTGGTGGGGCCCACCGTGCAGCCCCCGCGCAGCTTCCCCTCTTGGCAGTCGCCACAAGCCTCTCTCCTGGCCGAGAACCACCAGCCGCAGCCTCCAGTCTCTGCAGCCTTACAATCCCACCCAGCAGAACCAGCAGCAACCACCCTGCTGGAAGGAGGCAAGGCTGGGCCAAGGCTGACGCTTACCTAAAGTGTCTCCCGGCAGCCTTAAAAAGGCAGATGTGCTTCCCAACAAGCCAGATGGCTGCCCAGTCCCTGAAGAGCACTAGTGGCTGGGGGGGGAGGGGGGTTCCAAGCAACCTTAACGTTAACCCCATCGGGGCCTCGAGGAACCAGTTCAGAAGTGAAGGCGGCCAGCCAGGGACTGAGCGAGGCCACAAAGGAGTCGCTCTGTCCCAGGAGGCCAGTCTGGATGGGGGCGGCAGCGGTCCCCCCACAGGACAAGACCGCGGGTCCTCTCGCCCAACTCGGCGTCCCCTCACCCGTCCTCGGTACAGCTCCTCCAGCCGGCCGTCGATCCACTTTTCCGTGTCAAGGCGCCGCTGCAATTCCCGTCGGTCATACTTAACCGTGACCCGTGCTTGGCGCCGCTGGATTCCCGGACTGGCCGTCCTTTCCGCGCGGCTGCCTCCGGGAGAAAGGCCGGCAGAGCGGCCCGGCGACGCGCGCCCCAAGCGCCTCCCCAGCCGATCCGCCGCCATCGGTCGTTGCGCCAACTAGACGGGGCGTCCGTCGGCTTCCCGCGTCTTATAGCAGCCGAGGCGGAGCTCCCGATCCCAGGCCCTCCCTCAGGGTGGGGGGCGTCTGGCTCCGGGGGCAGAGGCGGGACCCAGCCGCTCTCTCGACTGTTCTTATGGGCCGCCCTGGAAGATGGAAGGGCCTTTCTGGCGGGCAGGAGCCCAGCGACCTCGCGGGCCTCCCTTTCCCAGAGCTGCTCCTTCCGTGCGGCTGCCGGGAACGAGCCCTGCGGCCTCGGGCTCTCGTGGCCTGCCGGCAAAGCGCGCTCGCCTGCCCACTTGCCCGCCCTCGCCCTTCCCACCTCTCTGAAGAAACGCCGGTCACTGAGATTTGGGGCCGGCATCCCGCCAGCTGGTAGCGTCCCCACCCACCCTTTGAACGTGTGTCCAGCCCGGCCCTTCTCTCCCGGCGCCGCCTGCCAAGGGGTCGCCCTCCAATCTCCTCCAGCGTCCCTGGTGCCACCGCTGGGAGAAGTCGGGCTTTGCCCCTTGGAGTTCCTGCCGCCACACAGGGCAGGGGCAGGCCGCTCGCCTCGGCGCTTTTCATCCGGACTCAGGTTGAGAAAGCTGCCGGAGCTTTTTGGAGCGGCTTAACCGGTCTGGGCCCCAGCGGGACGCCCAGCAGCCCCTTCCTACTAGCAGCCCCCCCCCCCCGGCCTGGGCCGTTCTGTGGTTCTGCAAATGCATTCGTGCAAACGACCCCCGCCCCCCCCCGACCTTCCCAAGCGGCGCCCCTTCTTCAGGAAGCCCCCCTGCAGTGGCGGCTCCTAACGCAAGCGAGGCCCTCCTGACCCCGTCGCGCTTCCAAGACGGCGGCTGTCCTAGCGCCCAAGGGGGCCGCAGGACACCCCCCCCCAACCGGCGCTTCGGCCAAAGGGAAGCTGGACTATTGAGCAGGGAGGGGGGGGAAGGGCGAAGGGAAGGGGCTCCGGCTTTTCCTCCGGGGCCTCTGCCGATCCCAGCTCGCTCTTCGCAAGGCGAAGGATGGAAGCCGGCGCAGGGGGCTTCCCACAGAAGCCATCCCGGAACTAGGCCACCGCGAGCGGGAGAAGAGAGCAGGAGCAGCGGTCCTGACCTCCGCCCCGCCTGCACCTGCCGAATCTTCCGCCCGCACCTGGCAGGTTTCTCCATCCGGGACTTTCCTACTTTGTAACCGGGGGCGGGGGGGGGGGGGGGGGGGGG